GGGAAATTCCAGAGCCAAACGCCGAGAGCTTTTCCCGAAGGATCCCGAAGCGGGGGGGAGGGAGCTGCTGCCTGCACCCTTTTCAGCAATGCCAGATATTTCTGATCCTCCTGACGCACTCGAGAACCATCTTATCAGGGTGCCATCCCCTGCCAGGGCAATAAAATTACCCAATTCCTTTTTAATTACAAGCCGAGAAGAAATCTTGGCAGCGCCTTGTGCAACTCGACCCGGGGCTCCTCAAGGGCTGGGCACAGGGTTTCTAGAAAGGCTTGCTGGGAGGTTTGCCATCATCATCCCTCCCCCAGGGATGGCCTTTTGGGGCCAAAAGGGTAAAAAAAAAAAAGGGTTTTTTTTGTCGATGAGGTTGCCCTGTGGTTGTGCCCAGAGCCAGCCCTGAGCTGTTCAAGGCAGCCTTGCTGGGGGGGTTTTGGGGTCTTCAGCTGCGTGGGGAGGGGGTGTGGAGGAGAGTTGTCAGCATTTAAAGATCTTTATTGGCTCTTTCTTTTCCTCTGGAGCCCCCAAAAGTGGGGCTGTGGCAGCGCCCAAATCCTGTCTGGGCGTGGCAATGTCAAGTCAAAAACTCTGACTTGGAATGGCTCAAAAACCCTTCCCAAAGTTTGAAATGGAATGGCTCAAAAACCCTTCCCAAACTCTGAACTGGAATGGCTCAAAACATTTCCCAAACTCTCACTTGGAATGGCTCAAAACCCCTCCCAAACTCTGAATTGGAGTGGCTCAAAAACCCTTCCCAAACTCTGAATTGGAATGGCTCAAAACATTTCCCAAATTCTGACTTAGAATGGCCCAACCCCCCTCCCAAACTCCAGGTTTGGGCTCTGTGCAGTCACAGACGATACAGAGAGAAAACCGTGCCATGAACGCAGAGTTTATTTCAGCACCCACAGATTAAAGCTCAGGAGAGGTCCCAGGACTCACCAGGGGGAAGGGGAGGGAGACAATTTGCTTTGGGAATTGCAGAGCTGTCTGAACTGGGCACAGGGCCGAGGACATGCAGGTGATGGATGGTCTGATCACTTCATCTTGGAGGATATTTGGTAGATTTGCTGCTGGCACTCCTGGGGGTTTCCGTGGCAGGATCCACCACTGCTGCCCTGGCATCCAGATCCACTGGTGCCATGGCATCCAGATCCACTGCTCCTGTGGCATCCAGATCCACTGGTGCCATGGCATCCAGATCCACCACTGCTGCCATGGCATCCAGATCCACCACCACTCCCGTGGCATCCAGATCCACTGCTCCTGTGGCATCCAGATCCACCACCGCTGCCATGGCATCCAGATCCACTGCTCCTGTGACAGCCCTCGCTGCCGTGGCAGGAGGATCTCTCCAGCTGCTGGCACTGGTCTTTGTCCTGGCGGGAGCACATCCTTGGAGACCTGTTGGGAAGACTCATCTTTGAGGGCAAAGGGCACTGGAAGTTGCTCCAAGGATGGGGTTTGGAGCGACCTGGGCTAGCGGGAAGGTGTCCCTGACCATGGCAGGGGGTGGAACAGGGATGGTTGTTAAGGCCCCTTCCCACCCAAACCCATTCTGTGATTATAACCCCGGCTCTTGAAGAAGAGAGAAAAATCAACCACCCGTGTCTGCCCGTGCTGCTCCTCTGGGCAAGCCTTTCCCTTCTGTGTTTAGCGAGTTAAAACTCTTCCTGGTGAGCGACAAGGGGCTGACAGAGCCCCGAGGAGCCTCCTCAGCCGCCTGAGCCAGCGAGTTCTCTGTTTTCCAACTTGATTTTTATTCTTATTTACGGAAAATGAAGCCGAACGAGGCGGAAGGTCCGGGGCAGCCACAGGCAGAGGGGACGGGACCCAAGAGGGGTCAGGGGAGGGGCAGGGCAGGTGAGCACGAGGAGTTCTGCCAAAATTTGAGAGAGCTGCACTTACCCCTCGTTCAGCAGGAGCTCAGAGGAGACGGCGAGGCCGCGACGACGACGACGACGACGACGAACGACGACCGAAGGCCTTTTATAGGGACACCCCTCCGGAAACGAGACGGGGCCCCACTGGAGGGACCTGCTGGCTCAGCACCCCGAGGGCCTCGCTAATTGGGAGGTTTTTGCCCTCGCTGATTTGACTCACTGGGAGCGGATCGATATTCCTGCTGTTCCCCCCCCCCCAACTCGTTACTCCGGAAAAATGTTAATTGCCCACCACGCCTGGCTCGGGGAACGGGGAGGTTTCTGGGCGGCCTTGTCAGCCTTGGACTTGGCTGAATTTACCTGTTTAGTGCAAAGAAGCCACGTGCCCAAGCTGGGGAAGGGACAAATATCAGGGGAGGGTGGGCTTGTGGGGTTGGGTTGAGAAGGGGGAACCCGAAAAATAAAAAAAAGGGGAAGGGAACAAGTGAGGCCCCGGTGGTGCGTGGGAAAAGAAGA